AAAAAGAACTTTTCAACTTGAAATTCCCAAAGCCCTAGCTGAACACAACACAGTTCAGTTTCGACACACTCAGTGTTGGAATAGAGGGCGGCCGCTATGTAAATACTTAACACTGTGTGGGTAGAAAGAACAAAGTGTCTTGTACTAAAACAAACTCTTATCTTTTAGCTTACAAATGGGAATTTTGAGCAAAGGGCAGCCTTCTATTTTCAAGGTCACTTTACTCATGATGACATTGATGCCATTTATCATGAAAATTTTTGTTCAGTGGTTGGGCATGTGCTCAGTGAGCATCTCCTGTGTTCTAGGCATTTGTAAATTGCTTCCACAAAGTCCAGTAGATCATGGTCCTGGTAGTAATGTAGGAAATGAGCCGAGTTGAACAACCACTTTTATATTCATACTTTTTTCAAATTCTTATTACAAACCTGAGAGGAAGGTTTAGACCATATATAAGTGAGAAAATTAAAGTAGAGAGAGATTAGGTAATTAGCCTGTGGTTTACCCAGCTAGGGAAAGAGCTTAAATTTCCTATGTCCATGTGCTTTCTGTTGTACTACAACTTCCTCTTAGAATTAACATTTATATGTTTTAGAACTTTACAATGGCCCTGTAATCCAAATAGTGCATTTGTATGTTTTAGGGCTCTACAGCAACCCTGTAATCCAGGTACTAGAGATGTTAATACCTTATTTTACAGTTGAAGACATTTCAGATAGCACTGACTTGCCTGATGGTACAGAACTATTAGGTAATCAGAACTGAGTGGGGCCTAGACCTACCCTTCATCCGGAATTCTCTGCCCTTTCTTCTCAGCACCTGAGAGGCTAGCGATTTTAATACTTGGCAACATTTATCAAACAGTTACCATGTATAATAAACTATGCCTGATGCTATGAATTGATACTGAAGGAAATAGGATTACACGCTTCCACTCCCCTTTCTAATGTAATGGTAGAGATAGGATAATCACATAAGAAAAATACCTAACGTTCATTATAATTAAACAATATAAGCAAAAGTAAACCAGTAACTATAGTGAAGTAAACATGTCACCACTAATGGGAAGCAATTTGAAGCATTATCTGGCTAATACCAAACAGCCTTCTGAGAAGCTTTTCAGTGCTCGTTCCTGCTGGTTTCTTCTAGGAAAAAGTACGGGTAGTGATGTTTCAGCCTCTTCAGGGCTACTGGCTTCTTCCTTGTAATCTATAACCATGTTCGGGTCTCTCTTATTTTAAGATATAAAATCTTGACAGTTGCCCAGATTCCCTACTCTCTTATCATCCCATCTTCCTTCTCCACTCCCAGCAAAGCTTCTTGAAATGTTGGCTAAACACTCTACTGTCTGGCTGTTTTCTTTCTTTTTCTTCATGACTCTCTTTCCTCTTCCTGTCCCTTAAATATCAGTGACTATTGTGTTATTGTTCTTATTCATAACATTTTGTGTATCATAAAGGTGTCCAAATCTTCATCTTTAGCTCATTTTTCTCATGCAACTCCAGATTGTTTCCCTGGATATTCCACAGGCACTTCAAATTGAACATGTATAAAGTGGAATTCATCATTTTCTTCTGTACAACTGGCTCTGTTCCTGCTTTCTTGTTAGTTAATGGTATCACCAGTCACCTGGTCACCTGAACTAGAAACCTGGGAGTCATTTTTGACTTTACCTTCTCCCTCAGTCCCTGTAATTTCTGAATAGTTTGCTTTTTAACATGATCATGAATATGCCTCTGCTTTCTATTTATTCTACCACTGAATGACTTCAAGCTCTCACGATCTGTCTGCTGTATTCTGGCAGTATCTTCCTAACTCTTCCCCCTACCTTCAGTCTTCTTTCCCTCATATTCACCAGCTCCAGGATGAGTTTTCCCTAAAAATTTGTTGTTGTATTCCCTTCCTTAAAACCTTTCAGTTTTTTCTGTTTCCTATAGGATAACATTAAACCTCCTAATGTGGTATACAAGATCTCCTCTGAGGTTCCTATTTAGATGCTCCGGATGATGTCTACCATTGGCAGGCTGCTTTGGCAACATCAGATATTTTGTGCTTACTCATATATACCATAATACAT